ATATGATTTATTGAACAAACAATATTGAGTAGATAACGAGCCTGAATTCTGGGGGCAGCTCTGTTAAGCTGCCGACGGTGACAGGCCACTCCCCGGAAGCCCAGAAACAGCTCTATGTTAATCAAAGAATGGCTAGGTTCATTCAGTATGCTAAGCAAACCATATTATGACGTCACAAGTTCTATCCATTTCATTATTGTTTGTTCAATAAATCATATTTAATCAAACAATGGTTTCACATTTGTGAGTATTTCCAACAACTGTGTCGAGTTCTATTTCTTCTATAAAAAATAAAACACTTAATAAACAATTGTATTTTCTTCCATTTCTCAGTTGAATTGGCTACTTCTCTTGGGTTACCACTCATAGTCTCCATCTCCTAGGCAAGGGGAGAATCAAAACTACTTTGCAGTTTCCACTGTTATCCTGCTGTCGATCAGAGAATAGTTACATATATAAGTGTTTCCTGGTACTCATGTAATGTTAGAGTAAGCAGTGGGGGTTTTTTTCTTCATTATTTTCAGCCCCCAAGGACTAAAACAGAGTGTAACACCAACATAATTAGATGCTTGACCTTTCTATTTTATTCTTGCTTTTAGAAAATAGAGGAAGAAGCTAACTAGGTCATGATCTTGGGATGGGGAGTTTCCAGCTATGGTTCCTGTCCCCAAAAGTGGTGCAATAATGCAATTAACCTGGCAAAAGGACTTACAATTAAAGGGGTTATGTGGGAAAATGGTCACAATGTCCTATAAGAATGATATATTTCATTTCTCCCAAGGTGGTAGTATCTTAACAAAGCCTTGCCATTTGGAATGACAGAGTTATCAGGAACATGTAAAGTGAATCCATCCATAGGTACGTGTAGAATCTCTCTGTTTTACTATCCCTTTGTTCTTTGCTGGGGCCTATATGTCATCCACCACTGACCACACACCTTTTATTTTTTTTCCTTCTGTCCAACGTTGCCATAGTAACATCTTGTCTTGACCATGCAGACGTTTACAGTTCACAGTTGCTTCTATCAGCAAGTTTCAGGATTATCAGTGCTTTGGTGTGTGAAAGCTTTTCTATTTTATTTTATTTTTAAATATACTTTTCCTTTGGATTTATAAAACCACCGGTTATGTTCACACAATAACTGGCCTTCAATTAAGCTACTTTTTTCAAGTTTTGTAGCATACTAAGAATTAAACTCACCATAATGGCTGAGTTTGTCCAGCTTCTTGAACTAAATGTGATTATTTGTGATGATATGTGTTGTGAATTATATGTGTTATCCTTTAAGACAGAGTCATGAAAGCCAGATTAACAGTCAATTCCTTTATCATAGCTTGGGAATTGCTTGGGAGGCAGTTGAACTGCTGCTTATCTAAGGATAGTACAGAAACAGATACTTACCAGTACACGTCTCAGGGTTCCTTGATACATAAAATAATAATTAAAGTTGTACAAAATGGATATTGGTTTGTTGACCTGGAACTGACAGTACAAATGGCTTTGAAAAATCCACTTGTTTATTTTTGTATTAAAGACATTTCTACCCTGTTGTAATCAAAACAACTCTGAGCAGCTGACAAATAGAACAAGCTTATAAATAGAACAATTTAAAACATCCATGATAACATTTAAAACATACAGGAACTTGACACTTGCTAATAATAAAAGCAGCAATCAGTCAAATCCACCAGGAAAAAAGCAATATGGCACCATAATAAGCTCAACCTGTCTTTCACAGGTTCCTCAGCAAGCAAATGACCTCTACCAGGCAGTTGCTCCACTCCGTTCTAGCTTCATCTTCCTGAACTTCCCAAAAAGTGGGATTTGCAGCAGTTTTTCTTAAATTATTCTTATCAACTGCAGAGAAATGATAAAGATCACTTTGGAGAAGAAAACTCCTGGGAAAGCAAGAAGGCATTAGAAAGAAATTTAAAATGACCCTATGTCAGGCATTCTGATGCTCTGTGGCCAAACTGACCGCATCAGTAGCATTTTATTGGGAACCTCAAGGGACGTGGGGGTGGTGGAGGCTTCTCAGCTCTCTGTGTCTGCTTTCGGCAGGTCAAAGGGTTCCTAGCAAGGGTTCCGGCAGCAGGCTTCCGATGAGGGTTAACCTCATGGTCCAGTATGATTGAAGTGGTGTACCAATCTTGGATATGTTCTGGCACCCCTCTTATGATGCAAGCTTCCCTCAGTTTGGGATCTAAGGCATTTTTGAACTTTTAGACCAAGAGTCTTTCTGGCCAGTATCATAGTTTTCCAGCTATTCTCCGGAACTCCCAAACTAACTCCTTCATGGGACGACCAGACTGTCGCAATCCCTGGATCTGCTCTTCTGCATCCACATGTTGGGCCACATCGCTAAATAGGGCGCACATCAATTGGATGAACCCAGTAATTGGGTCCAGTGTAAGACCGTCCACCCAAGCTTCCCCAAGCTTTGACTTTCCTTGATATAAGAAGCAAGGAAAGAAAAATATGTCAGGCTTTCATGATTCTGTTACTATAACCTATATCAGTAAAATAGTTCCATTATTTCTGGTGAAGTTTGTTTCCTATCCTGCATTATAGTAAAGGGAAGACATCAGTGAGGTTGGTACTGGTTAAAGTAGGCAGTTCTGCAGGTATCCAGATGCCAAACCCGACTTTGAAGTTTAAAACCAACATCATAGTCAGCAACCAGTGCAATAGCCCTAAAAACAATGTTATATGCTCCCAATACCAGTGGAATGTATAGACTACTGCATTTTAGATTAATTGTTTAAAGCATATTACTGTAGATAAATCCAGTCCACAATTAATATAGCCATGTCCTCCTGCCCTAGGTAAGCTTGCAACTGGTACAACAGCTGAACCTGGACACGGGCTCCTCTGGCTACAGGTTCTACCTGCTGTTCTAGCAGATACTATGAGTTCAGAAAGAACCAAGTCATAAACCTATTCTATGATGGGTACTCTTGCCCATCAAGGAAAAACTCTGGTGGAGACATAGAACTAACTCGAGTTTAACTTCAGTCTGTCCTGTCTCTGACAACTTCTTCCTCAAGACTCAAGTTGGAAATGTACAATAGGGTATCATCAGTATACCTCCATCAAAATATCAACATAGGTCACAAAGAGATAAAACAATGTTATTTCCATCTCATACCCAAGTCTTAATCCAAAGTGAAAAGTTCTAAATAATTCACTTTCTTTAGGATGCAAGCTGGTATCTACTGGTACCAGCTAAACAACCTTTTCTTAGAAAATGAGGGTTGGAGCTGGAACAAAAGTTATCCAACACCATTGGATCAAGGTATGGCTGTTTCAGAAAGGGGTGAACCATAGAGTATTGATAACTTCCAGAACCAAATGTTTACCATTCCATCTCTTTTTCATACTATTGGTTAATAGTTTCTTTCAATCAGTTCAGATCTATGCTACTATACAGCACAGCAGTATTGAAAACATTGAAAGCAGTATTTGGCACTCT